AGTACCTTGAGAAAAGGGAGCTAGAGAAGTACGAGAGGCAGTTAATTAAAACCAATCTCGAAACGCTTTTCTATAAGGCTGTAATCACGTTGAAATGAAAAGGCCTGCGTTTCTGGGTGAAGTTCATTTCGCCAAATGAAGCTTCGAAATAAAGCTGCAAAAAAGGCGAAATCACACGCATGTGGAAGTGTATCGCCTAGGCATAACGGTGGAGAAGAGAGAAGTAGGGACTTAACGACGAAAAGACAGACCGTCGCAATGGTGACTCACCCCCAAATATTCAGCGTCTCGCACCAACAAATCGGCCAACTTATAAAGTAGGTCGCCTCGATCGGATGAAGTCAGTTGCCGCCACGGCGAGTTGAGGCCGAAGGCCCGCTTAGCAGCTTCGACTGCGATGGCGATGTCGGCAGCATCGCCCTCCTGTACCTCGCATATCACATTCTCGGTCGACGGATTGAGGGTGGGAAATGTTTTACCCGACTTGCTGTTTACGAACTCATTGTTGATGAAGATCTGTACGGCATATTGGATGGGACAAAAGGATAAAACACAATTATGCAAAGCACATTATGAACGTGAAGGCATAAAGGATAAATACGATATTGCAAAATAAGTGGAGGCAGAATGAGCTGAAGATCGTTAATATACCATTATTGCGGCTGGGAGACAATGTTTTGTTGGTCGATTGTCTCCGTGACGCTAGTCTCGCAGATGGCATTCAACAAGACCGGAAAATAGCCTATTCATGACCCAGATACTGTAACAAAAGTTTCATGGCCCTTTAGGCACTACCATCTTGGGGACGAAGAAGAATGCTCACACGAACCCCTAGAGCTCGTGACATGCATGTCGATTAACCGAGTGAGATCATTCATATCGTAGTAACTAAGAGCGTTACTATTCTCTTTATACAATCAGTCAGTTAATAAATCAAGTGAGCATTGGTGTAGACGAGAGTGTGATCAAATAGCGAGAATAAGCCAGAAACCCTTTAAGAATAGAGGGGACAAATCAGGAGCGACTGACCTGCGTGCACTGCACTGCTGGAGGAGACATGGCGAAATTAGACGTGGCGAGAGGACAAAGAGAAAATATGCTATTGAGTTTGAGGCAATGGCCAATCAAAATATGGCTTTGGACAAAACTGACATTGTTTCCGTTTGGTCAACCAATAGCAGCATAGCAAAGTCGACACTTCCCCGTTGATTGGTTAAGGCATTGGCGACATCACCACTTCGATTCGAGACATGGCGAAAGTTGGCAACAGCTCGATCAAGCTGGAGTGAAGGTAGGGACGAGGAGTGATGCCTTCGCTTGCCAATTTAGTAGGTTGGAATTATGTACTTATGGTGGCCCCTCTCGCTGACAGTGCCTTGGGATTGTGCGCAGCCAATCGTCTAATGCTGGAAAGCACGAATGTTATGGCAGGGGACACGGGAGTAGGTACGTTCTGAAAAGTCTCCCTCACGCTCCGACCAAGTAGTGAAATAACAAGGCCGAAAAAATACTATTAAGCTAAAGGATACTGCGACGAAACAGAAGACCACATCATCTTGGTCTTCATATGAATGACCAAGTTCTTGCTTAAGAATTACTGATAATGTCGAAAAGCTACTGATTGTGTCGAACGTTAATCTATGTTACTAGTACACTGACACTAATTTTGATTAGCACATCGTGTTGTGGGCCGGACCGTAGGGCTTGGACAGAATGCCAACAAAATGAATTGTAACAATTTTTCGTTTGCAACTAGGTTTTCAAGACTATCAGTAATTCACATACTTGAGAAGTTAATTACTATATTTCGTATTAGAGTAGGGTTTCGAGACGTCGATTACTATAGCAAACATTCGTTTGCTTCATCGGCACTCCCACCAAAAAGAATATGATATAGCAGAGGCCTGACCCTCCTTGAAATTCA